GGAACTGGAGGGTTTGGACCAGGTGGGGCTGGCACAGGAACTGGAGGGTTTAGACCAGGTGGGGCTGGCACAGGAACTGGAGGGTTTAGACCAGGCGGTATTGGCACTGGAACTGGAGGGTTTGGACCAGGCGGTATTGGCACTGGAACTGGAGGGTTTGGACCAGGTGGTGCTGGCACTGGAACTGGAGGGTTCGGACCAGGCGGTGTTGGCACTGGAACTGGAGGGTTTGGACCAGGCGGTGTTGGCACAGGAACTGGAGGGTTTAGACCAGGCGGTGTTGGCACTGGAACTGGAGGGTTCGGACCAGGCGGTGTTGGAACAGGAACAGGATTTGGACAGGCAGGCCAAGGAAAAAGAAAACCTTATAAATCTGGTAAGCAAGGATTACATAAATAAGATCATTAGCTAGATCATATAATGGAGATACCTAATGGAGGTTTCATGATATAAGAAATGCAGCCAGCAAACAGATGTTTTATCAAAGTTTTTTTCATTGTTTCTTCCAGGTTATGGAGGAGCTGGTTATGGAACAGGTAAGGGTTTAGTTTGGAGTAGGGAGGTTAATGGTTGTTTTAGATATTTTTATGGTTTATAACTGTGTAAATATATTTTAACTTTTCTTCCAGGAGGAGGATTAGGAGGAGGATATGGCCCTGGTGGAGCTGGGGGTACAGGTCCTGGAGGTTTTGGACCAGGAGGTGCTGGGACCGGTGGGTTTGGCCCTGGAGGTGCTGGGACTGGTTTTGGCCCTGGAGGTGCTGGGACCGGGGGCTTTGGCCCTGGAGGTGCTGGGACTGGTTTTGGCCCTGGAGGTGCTGGGACTGGGGGCTTTGGCCCTGGAGGTGCTGGGACTGGTTTTGGCCCTGGAGGTGCTGGGACTGGGGGCTTTGGCCCTGGAGGTGCTGGGACTGGGGGCTTTGGCCCAGGAGGAGCTGGGACCGGTGGCTTTGGCCCTGGAGGTGCTGGGACTGGTGGTTTTGGACCTGGCCAAACACTTGGAACAAGAAAGCCGTCTAAATCAGGTTACGGCTCGTCGCTGGGTGGAGCTGGCTACGGACCAGGTAAAATTCTGAGATATACTTAGAAGCTTTTGATAGTAACTCATATATTTTCTTATCAGAACCTCTACATTCAAAGCACTACCATTTGCACAAACTTAATGTAAATTAATTCAGAGAGACACTTAAACTAATCCAATTTAACCAACTGAATGCATGAAGTTGACTTTTTGTCTGGATCAACACCACATTAAATCATGCATAGGAGTAAACAGCAGCAAAAAGCAACAGGAACTGAATCATATGGTTTGGTTTGCTATGTGGTGGGATTCTATGGAGGGAGTATCTCACACTTTGTGTTTGTCGTTGCATTAAAGTCTTGTCAGAAAGTAACCTTAGACATAGGAGCTCTCTTTACAGTTACAAACTGTAATGTATGACGGACCATTATGATTATTTGAAAGACCAAATATCCTATTCCTTTAATAAACGTGGACTACAGCTCAGTCTGCTTCTCTGTTTAACTTGTTGTTTCACGTTGCTCTATGGAAACATATGTATTGTTGTATTATTTGTCATTTATGTAATTTAATCACATCACTGTTCATTAGGAGGTGGAGTCGGAGTTCTTCCTGGTACTGGGACAGGAGGCGTCACTGGTGGTGGCCAAGGTGAGGTTCCAGCTTATAAAGTCAAGTAAATGTTTAGCACACAGCACATTATAATAAAGAGACAACAGACATGTGAAAATTTGACTGAGATAAAACTTTTATTAGTGACTAACTTGAGGTGTGTCAGTTCTCTCTAAAGATCTGTAGTCTCTGGTAATAATACTGGTAACAACTGGTAATAAAAATAAGATGGTTTATTTTACATAAAAAATTCTCCCAAGTGCCTCTAATCCACTGGGTACAACAGTGTTCATTTGGCCCTTTGTTTATATCCCCATGTTGATTAAAAAGTTAACTTGTCTCTCATTCATACCCATTTATCTGTTTAGGTAGCATAGCAGGAGGTACAGGAGGGCTAGGAGGTCCTGGAGGAACTGGCCAAGGAGTTGGAGGACTACCTGGTGGGGGACCAGGTCAGTTTATATGAAAATATAGTCATTAGGATAATGAGAATGTGCTTTTAATATATTTCAAAACATCAAAATCAACAAAATTCATAGCACTGCACTGTAAACATGGCACAGATAAGAAGTGCTTTGAAAGCTGTAATGTTTTTATTCTTCCAGGAGGTGCTGCTGGTCCTGGATATGGTGGGCTGGGTATAGGAAGTTATCCAGGTGAGACAGATTTGATCACATATGTCCTCTTTTTAATACTCAGCATACACATTTTAGTAAAATCATACAAAACTGAAAATAACAGGAAACAGAACGCAGTGTTATTCTGAGATTGTTTTAAAAAGTCCATTGTAAGGTATCAGTTGTTTGTTATGACTTTATCTTTCCTGTTATTGTTCTCTAGGGTATGCAGGGGCTGGACAAAAATGTAAGAAAACTCACTGTGTCCTCTGGAATAAGCATGTCCAAATTAACAACGTTGGTCTAGCATTGACACAAAGATACACAGATCGGATGAACATATTACTTTTGCTTATCTTGTCAGTGAAATATAATATATCAAGGATAATTCTGATTGTAACATGCATGCTTTTTTAATATCTACTGACAACTAAGTATCTAAACACGTTTTCTTGTTTTTGTTTGTTTGTTTGTTTTACTATCATGACCTTCAGCTAAAGCGCAGAAGGCAGCCAAATATGCAGCCATGCAGGGTTTACTTGGATCCAGGGGCTACAGAGGTAAAAGTCATAGACATATTATAACAGTCCTGATCACCGCATTTCCTATGCAATACAATATTTAGCCTCACTTCTGTCGATTAGATAATAGTGTTGACAAATAATAATAATACAAAGTTTTTATAAGGTTTTATAAGGTGCAAAAGGGCTAAAAAGGATCATCTTAGCCCTTTGCTAGATGGTTGCAAGGCAACATGATGACATTGTAATATCCGATATAGATAAAGACCTTCGTGAGCCTGAGATGTATCTATGTGTCATGTTTAGTTGTTCAACTCCTGATTATCTAGCAGGAGTTTGCGGACAAAGAGACAAACATACGGACAGACAGATTTTCTATCATATAGTAAGAAGATGTAATTTACATTCATTTTAGGACTCATAGCAATGATATGTTCTTCTTCATGTGTTGCAACTTGAAAGGAATTAAAAAAAAAAAAACACACAAGTAAAGATTTCCGCACCTCCCAATATACACTGTAATTATTTTCACACGCATACTAGACCAGATATTAAATGGTCTTTGGCCTGCCAGCTCCCCAGTACAAAGTCCTGTGATATCCAAATGCAACAATTTGTGTTGATGTGAGAATAGCACAGGTCCACTGAATCCATAGCTAGGTGGTTAGCTTGTGCATTGCTCATACCTGCTCTGTCCAGGCAGCAACCTAATCTAAAGCAAACTGAACATTTTCCAGCAAATTATTTGAAAGCAATCTGAAGCTGACAACCTCCAACCATGTGCTACATGCGAGGAAGGACAAGGACAACGTCCTCACCTGCTTCACCCGACACTGAAGTCTGACCAGAATTATTCTTTTTAGTTAAAAATAACATTTTTGCTTCGCAGGTGTAAGCCTCTGCGAACCAATCAAGTTGTAGTTTACAACTTGGTCTCTCCAGAATCACAGTGAAGCTACACTGAGACTGCATTGTTGTAGGCAAGATAAGATTTCATGTTGATGTTGCTACAAGCAAGCAACTTTGTAACCTAAATACAAACATAACTACAAACCAGCTCTGGACTACAAACTAGCTAAGGACTCAACCAACTGGGAGATCAAACTCACCCTCTAGTTATACATTTTAAGGGTTTAAGAAAAGTCATGTCATGTTTTTTGTGTGTGGCTGTAATCTTTGTGGGATGGGATAGACTTTCAATTAATAAAAAACCGAGAGTAGCTTCTAGAGTAAATTGCCAGACTCCTCTGTGAGTTTCCTCTGATCCAAAAATGTTTTCTACAGAAGTGACATGCTCAAAATTGGCAACAATTGGTAACACCCACAAATACAGGAACTCTGTGTCTGTGTAGGAAATGAACATTTGACCCTACAAACTAAGGGAAATATGTCCTGGAAGCTATTCTGAGTTAGTATAAAGTGGGATTTAACAGTTGTCATTTTATGTTGGTCTGGATGAACAGCGGAAGTCTTATTTAAACAATCTGCATACTGCATGTAAAGTGAAGAATAACGCTGTCTTTGTTCTGCTTTTTAGGAGCTGGCCGAAGGAGGAAGTGAGAAAGACCAAAAGACAGGAAGTGACCTCATTAAAACAACAGTGGTGCTATTGCATGATCCCACACTGTAAATGTCTTACCTGCCACAGAAGCTAAAGCTTCAGCACATCCCGCTTTTTACATTTCCATTTGCTTGGGTTTTATAAAAGGTTGCAGTGGTTCTCAACCGGATCAGATTCACCGCCAGGTGAAGATTGCCGTTTCCCTTTGTTAAATACTTTATTTCCCTTTTTTGGATAATTAAGTCATTTTATTTTGGTCAAATTATTAAATGTCAATTTCTCAAGAAAGTTTCAAAAATAAAATAACGTGGGTAGAAAACCCCAGAAATTCCTGATGATCGGGTTGAGAACCACTACAGTGAAGAATCAGCATTTCTTTTCATCACTTTTTGTCTGTCTTTGCTGTGTTGATTATCATTTGTGTTGTTATGCAAGTATTGGCACAAATCCTCTGGGTTAAGACTGACACCAAGGAGTCCCTCAGGGCAGCTCCTTCAGACCTGTCTGCATGCTGACGCAATGTGTAAAGAAATATAGGGCGACACTTCTACCCAGTTAAACTGGGATATGTCTGCAGAGTGAATGGCCGAGCAGACAATTCACTGTTAGCATCTTTTACATCAGTGGACAAACAAATAGTGTGTACAGACACAGAGACAAACAGCTGCTGTCACAGGAGAAGATGAAGGCAGTATTTTATGCAGTAGTGGTAGTCTTTTGATCCTTGAAAAGCAGTCTCTGGCCATGTGAGCTGTACTCAGGCCTCAGTAGTATCAGTAATGGAGCCTGAGGATTCTCACAGATATCACTTGAGGCCCACCTGTGAGATTCTTCCACTCATTTCACAACTTAATGGCACTGTTTTATAGCCACATCACACTCAATGGTATAAATGTAAAATATTGGTTAGCGTGCATATATTTTGATTGTTAGGAGGGTGTATTTGTCCTGACTTTCTGAATGGGCTTAGTTTTAGCTTTTACATTTGCTGTTGAGGTAAGCATTCAAGCTAAATGTGAGGTAATATGACTAGAGTACATGACATCCCAGGAGTACTGATTACTGCGTTTTCCTTCTGTTCATGAACCTCCTTTAACACTGTTGGGGAAACTGCTCACGTTTACTAGACTTTTTAAATTATGTTGAGAACTGTATTTAGCCTCATTTTACAAAGTCAAGTGCATTATTACAGTACTAAAATATTTGAGTTAGTCATTCTGTGTGTGTGTTTTTACAGTTTTTAAACCCGTTTACTACTATGATGAGTATAAGTGCTTTGTTTTCTACATTGTCCTTGAATGTGTGCTGAATCACAGTGCAGGCTGTGACGTCAGTGGGTCAAAAGTGGGGTGAGTGAATCTCGTCTTGCATTTGAGCTCATGTGCATCTCGAGCTCAGTGTGATTTTTAACATCTGTGTTTCTTTTTTTTTATGTGGCCTATGAAGAAAATTATGCACTTTTGTAAACTCTCTGACAATGCTCTCCGAAGTAAAGAGATGACCAATGACAACTTCTTTGTGTCATTATTTTATTGCTACTGGAGTAATTTAGCACGTACAAAAAAAACCCTATAATGAAACAACAAGGAGGGGTTTAACCACTTGGCAAGAGGAGGAAGCTCAACATCTAGAAGTAGATGTTGGTTTTTTAGCATATTGAACTGTGGTGGGTTCAACCGCAAGGTATGCTGTACTGAGAAAGGAAACAGACAACTGTGGCTTAGGGGAGTATAAAAAAAAACGCAGAACAGCAGTGAAGCTTTGTGTACGTGGTGACTCATATGAAGAGTGAACAATTAGTTGTTGATGCTGTACAAACTTTAACAAAAAGACAACTATTATGAAGAGCTGCAGTGCATATTTGGGCGCTGATTGAGATTGGGTACTGCCGAGTCAACATCAGTTAGTGATAAAGTGCCAGCGTGACAACTCTGCAGACTTGGCAAGTTATTTTAAAAGTCTGCGCTCCTTAATTTGGTAATGCAGGTCAAGCGTCACAACAGAACAGTTAGTAATTGTCAGTGCAGACAGTCATTGTTGTGGGCTATAGACAAGGGTTTTGAGTGATGTTGGTTACATAACTGATTGGGCCTTAAAGTCAAATGAAGGGGGGCTTTGAAGCCATTTTGGCATCCCACTGCACTCTAACCTGAGTAGGAACAATGTGCATACAAAGCCAAGTTTCTGCTCTTTGTTTGGGTTAGAAATGGATTCAAGGTATTAAAGGTGCATTAGGCTGCTTTTCAATTACTAGTAAAACCTTAAAATGAAACTGTTATTTCAGCCAAAGGGGCAACTACATCAGTTTAGTTTAAATAGTAATAGGTATCCTAAAAGTACAGTTCAAAATGTGACTAGAATTAGGGAACATCTATTGGTGTCTTAGGACAGGTGTAAGCATTGGCCATCCAAGTCTATTGCACTGCTAATATTCTGTGACACGAGGCTCAGTCACTTGTGAGTCTCCCTCATCATAGAAAGTCAACACAGCTTTTTCAGTTCAAACACACCAATTTATTTTCCAGCGCCCTGCCGTCGAGCCAGGCTCAGTGGACGTTCTTCTTTATAGTGTTCTTCTCTAGTTTCTCCCAAACAGTCCACACAGTACCTTTGCCAATTACTGCACAGCGTCTCCCAGCAGTGATTAGCTCATGCACAACAGGTGTGTCACTCAGCTCGCTTGGCACTGCTCCCTGAACCAGCTCCACCTCTCCCCTCTACAGCTGAGCTACACATTCACATTCAGCCAATTTGGAATCACAACCTAACCAAACATGCGTGACTTTGAACTGTAGAAGGAAACCGGAATACCTGGAAAGAATCCATGCTGACGCAGGGAGAGCGTGTAAACTCCATCGAAGAGGGTCTCTGATGACGAGCATGTTGAAACCAGATACCCTCTTCCTGTGTGACAGTGTTAACTACTGCAGTACCGTGCTACCCTAGGATGGCATAATCATACTTAACTTATTTCCTTACCAGTGACGAGAAGCAACCCTAAAGTCTTAACAGCACTTTCTATAGCGTTGTTAGATAACATCATTCTACTCCCAGCTCATGTAAGTATTTGCCTTTTACATGAAATATCACAAAAGAAGCAACATTTAACACAAACTAGCTTCTTTGGTCTAAAAAAAAGAGGACAAGAACAACTGGATATAGTTTTGTAGTGCTGTGCGTCATGCTGCCTGGACGTTTTACAACACTGAAGCCTGGTAAAAATATTTGTTATGAGCAATACTCGCACAAGGTTTTGCTGATTAATTTGTTCATTATGCAGCTTACAGAGATGCAATGACTAACTCGGGCATGAGAAAAACAACCGAGGATGCAAATTAAAGAGAAACGGTAACTGAAAGTGGCATAAATCTATGACTGTATCAGTTTTGTGACAGAAGGGTCTCCTCCATATATCTACACCTGTTTCTGCTTTTCTGTCTGCAGTGCAGATTTGCCTGGACAATTTAACAAAAAATGCATATGCAGACATATAGCACAGCTAGTCTGAAGTTGCTGAATTGACAGGACTGTTTGCAGGAAACCTACAGCAAAACAAATTTAAAGCTCATTAGGTCATAATTTTGGTTTGAGAGGTCGATACTGAACGCTATCAATGGATTTGTTTGTCTGTTCTGAGCTGTTCCCCACAGTTATGCTTTAACTAATTTCTCCCTCTTTGTTCGTTGTGTGTGATGAATGGAGTTCTTTACTGCAGGATCTGGACAGTGCAGTAATTGGGGCATTCATAAAGAGATTATGCCTGCACTGATGGGAACAGGGCTTATTTCAAAACACACACACAAAACACGTCTCAGACCACTTATCACATAAGCACTCATTTAGGTTGTGAGTTTAACTCTCCTAAACTTGCTAGACTCTGCAGAAGAGTGCAACTATATCTTGCAGAGGTCTACATGCTGGACATAACAGGAGAGGGGAGGGTGAGGGAGGGCGTCTCTTATCGGATTGGTCTGTTTCTCAGCAGCCAGCAGGGGGAAACTGGCCAGCTGGTGTCAGTGGGTCAGACTCTTTTCTCACACAGCTTCTCTTCACATTCGAAAGGGAACTCATATTCACACAGGAAGCCTTTGAACACATGGAGAGAGAAAGGCAACGCCTGTCATCAGTCACAGCAGAGTAGGTGTATATGATCCGCTCACAATCACATGCTGCTAACAAGCTCCTTTCTGAACTGGGTGGACTGTGTTTGACAGCTGTCTGTTGGTTAACTGGCAAGGCAGAATGTCACGACGGGACCAGAGGTTTCGGCGAGGCACGAAAGGACGGTAAGAACTGAAATCTTTAGATACGCGTAAGAGTGAGCGAAAGGGGAGGAAGCGTATGAAAGAGTGAGTCAAAGGAAGAGAAAAAATAAATAGGGAAACTTCTAAACGTCTGCATGTATACTTCCTCAAACAGAAGTCTGCCAACAAAATAACACTTGAGGTTTATTTTTTTTGGAGGTTGTTTTTGCTCTAATGTTCACAATAACAAAAAAGCATGTTGGAGCACATTTCGCAAGTTACAAAAAAAATTATAATTTGTTTACTTTGTAAACATCCCTGTTCCTCAGGCCAAAACCTAAGAGTTAGCATTTAAAGTCTTTTATTTAGCATAAAGAAATATGTGAAACATCCAGCGTGACACAAGCAGTTTAAAAAAATCCTTTTAAGAGCTTTTTTTTTTTTTTTTTAAAGGAAGTCCGACATACCAACGTACAGAACACGGAGGAAACGGTGGTAGGAGAAAACGTCATGAGATTGTTAACATCTGACCGAGGTTCAGTTCTGACGTCATAACTTCTTTAGAGACACGAGAACAAAGGGGATTTTTATTGACAGGAAAACACTCAGGTGACCAAAGAGAAATGTGGAGAGATGGATGAGGGGGCGGGCAGTAGAAACAGCTGAACTGATTCCAGGTTTTCTTGCAACCAGATGCTTTAGCGGAATCGCAGATGTGAAGCTGGAAGGTTCCACATCTGCGGCCTGCAGCACAGTAACAAAGACAGGAGGTCGAAAATAAACCTGCAGCGGTCTGATGGCTTTATTGCTTAATTATTTCCTTAGCAATGAAGGAGAAGCGAAGCTTGGTCTCTAGCAGCACGTCCTACAGTGCTGTCAGAAAAAAAGAGATCCCACATGTGAGGGTGTGCGCACTGAAGAAGCAATGTGTTGCTCTATCAGCAACAACAAAACGAGCTGTTTGGTGTTGTTAACAAAAACACAAAGGGAAAGAGCTGCCTATAGTTTTCTGTGACGAAATACTAAAACCACAACAAAAACGGCAGAATGAATCGTGGCTTTAAGTTGTTTTGCAAGACTTAAGATCACTTTAACATATTATGAAGAAAACCTTTAAAAGAAACTATTGTAGGAATTATGCTTTATTCTCAATATGACACAACCTTTAGCTATTCTTACAAAAATGGATTCAAAGCATTTACCGCATGATGTTTGGGGAGAGGAAACATGGGCCAGTACTCAACCCAGGAAGTCACCTCCCACTCCGGCTGCAGTGTTGGAGAGATAAGGAAGCAGGGCCTTTATCGTACACACTATAGTATTATTCTTCGTTAACAGGGTAACGATGGGTCTCACTGTAATCTGCAAACTTTAAAGGCCTGAAACTGAACATTGTGCTCTGCATTTAAGGAATGCATGCTATTTTAATTTTTAACAGCTGTGTTGTGCAATCTTGAGTGGGTGTGTCTCTATGGGGAACATTGTTTTTGTGAAAACATGTGACTAGTCTCTTTGCATGAATAGTCCTTTTTTGTAAAAACCAATATTAATGTCACCCCGGGCTGATTGTCATGGTGATGTCAGCATAGAAGTAAAGATAAGTGTATTTCCTTTGGGTGTATGCCTCTTTGTGACCAGATCATATTGTTAACCAACATAAGAGAAGAAATGAGTAGAGTATGAGTGGAATCGTATACTGCGTTCATAAAAAGGAGCTAAACAGAAAGCAATAATCTGTTGTCTCACAGACCTTGAAATGTGATACTCTTTGTGAGGATTTCAAGTCCCACATCTTCCATCCATGATTAGGCTCATGTTACTTTGTCTGCGTATCTGAATCTTTTCTTTTTTTTTTCTTTTTTTTTTGCTCAGGTTTTGTTCCACTTTCTCACTCTGTTACGCCATATTCTCCCGTTTCCCTCTTGTCTCTGCAGGTGTTGTGAATGTGGCTGTATTCTGTCTCACTGGTACTATGAAAGAGAGGGGCAGCTGTATTGTAAAAAGCACTACTGGTGCCGTTATGGAGGACACTGCCACGGTTGCAAGGAGACCATTGCAACAGGACTCATAATGGTAATATCGAAATCACTCAAAATTTTAACCAAAAAAAAAAGATTCTGATGAAACTATCCCTCTGAACACAAATAATTCACAAGTTCCTCACTAAACTTTTTTTTTTTAATAATCTTGGCTACAAAACGTTAGCATACATGGATTTCTAAGCTCATAAGATAAAAGCCTGATTAGCTGCCCTCTCTGTTGTCTGA